CACATGAGAAAAAGCTCATGATCGCTAGCCAGCCGGGAGTTGCAAATCAAAACGATGATGAGATATCACCTTGCCCCCACAATGATAGCCCAATTAAAAAACAAACAATGGAGAGCAACAAGTGCTGGAAAGGGTGCAGAGAGTTGGGACGCTCATACACTGCTGGTGGGCTTGTAAATATGCACAACTGTGGGGAAAGCGTGATGGGATTATCTAAAACTGAAATAGAAATCCCATACGATCCAGCAACACGTTTGCTGGGCATAGACCCCAAAGAAGTAAGAGAGATAACACGCCCAGATGTATGCTCTCCCATGTTCATTGCAGCAGAGTTAACAGTAGCAAGAAGCGGGAAACAGCCCAAATGCCCATCAGTAGAAGAATGGATACCTACATACACCAGAACACTCTGCACTCTTAGAAAATAGTTATGAAACCATGCAACACCTCGGGACAGGGATGGATTTAGGAGCCATTATGTTGAGTGGTGAAGTTAGTCTATCACAAAAGGACAAATACTGTATGAGTCCAATGCTATAAGGAGAAACACCAAGAAAATGGGAGACGACTGCTCTCAGGACATGTAGTCTTTTCATCCCGTCTCCCAGGCATCGAGGTAGAGAGCCTCCTTGTGTCCAGGAAACATCTATCACATCCTTTATAGGTACATGTTAAAAACACTTTATCAGAGGAGACCTCATCTCAGTTGGCGTCCGTTTTTCAAGACAGGGGAGAGGGAGACCATTCAGTTGCTGCCATACAACCTGGTGCTAAGATCACCCCAAATCAACAGACACTCTTACAAGAGCGATAAGCGAAACTTACTGGAAATCCAAGTCAAGAGGAGGGGGTAGGGGGCATGTGCGTCCTGGAGAAGGTGAGCACACTTCCTGAGGTGGGTAAACGGAGTGAAACAACCTCCCACTGGGGAAAGAAACACTTAACAATGCTTATATAATATGCCCGGCACTGTGTATCTAATCGGACACTTGTGACCTAGTTTCTACCCATATCTTGGTGACCTAGACCTCGTGCTATAGAGTACTAGGACGTTAGACTCTGTCCTTTCAAGGCCCACAGCATGCTTCATAGGCCACACCAGAAATGTAGAGAGTGAACTGGGCTTCATCTCAAACTCACCTGTAGCAGATTTAAGGAACTGACATACTCTCTTGGTCGTAAGGGTCGACACCTGAGTGTGAGAAGAAGCAGAAGACTGCTATTTCAAGGCAATGCAGTTATTAGACTTTGATTCGGAGCTCTTGCTTTGAGGGTACCCAGTGAATGGTGGCCTGGGACTATGTGGCAGTTACATAATCTTCTGTCAACTTGAGCAAAGGGGTGGAGTCTAACCTGTCAATCAGGTTGCTGCTTGACAACTTCATTTGGAGGCGCGCGGGATATAAACAGCTCACTGGAGGCCAGACGCACTCTCTCTGCCTTCCCTGTCCTGCTGTTGAGACACTCAGAGAGCTGGAGGAGACACATGGAGGCCCGTGCCAGTGTTGAGAT